GCAACGTCATCCTAGGCTCATGCATGTGCCTGACGCGACTGTCGAGCTTCTGCGAGCTCTGGTGGCCATTCGTACGACTCCAGGAGCACCAGCATCTTGTTTCCCCTGTGCCAGGCGAGCCCATGTGCAGACATATAGGCGTCCGGCACGCGTAGCTCCATGTGCCATCAGTAGCGTACAAGTACTTCTTCTTGCCTCCACAGCGGGCTCCTGCTTTCTTCCGCACACATCCGTCCACACCATACACATCTCATCGCGTGCATGGCGCGCTCACACATCGCCGTGGCCCTGGGCGCTGCCCTTGTCGCCTCATTGATCATCGCACAGCTCGTCATCAACTTGGGATTTCCTGCCGTCGACTTCTGGCACGGAAGGCTCGACAACAGCTACAATGGAGCGCAGCAGGACCGCTTCAACAGCGAGAAGCAGGATGGCGGCCTGGCCGATGACCCATCTTCGTACCTCATCGGCGTTGGCAAGGCGGACATCACGGGGTGAGTGGCGCGAACAAACTACATGCGACTGTACTGACGACACCACAGTCCGGTTGTCGAGCTCAACATGATGGGCTATGCCAACTCATCGCAAATTGGCTCTGGACTCCGCCAACGCCTCTACTCCCGCGCCTTCATCGTTGGCAACCCGAGCGAAACCAGCGAACGACTCGTGTACCTTGTCCTCGACACCCAGTCCGGAGACTCTGCCATTCGCAACGGCATCTTGGAGGGCCTCCAGGCCATGGGCTCCGAGTACTCCGTCTATGGAAAGAACAATGTAGCCGTGACAGGCACTCACAGCCATGCTGGGCCAGGAGCCTGGCTGAACTACCTTCTTCCCCAGATCACAAGTCAAGGCTTCGATAAGCAGAGCTACCAGGCTATCGTCGACGGAACACTTCTATCTATCAGGAGGGCACACGAGAGTCTGACCCTAGGAACTGTCAGTGCTGGGACTGCGAAAATTGCCGATGCGAACATCAACCGCAGTCTGTTCGCCTACCTGGCCAACCCACAGGCAGAACGCGATCGGTATACCGACAACGTGGACAAGACCATGACACTCCTGAAGTTTACAAGAGCTAGTGACGGAAAGAGCATTGGAATTCTGAATTGGTTCCCTGTCCATGGTACGAGTTTACTCGGCAACCAGACGCTCATTGCTGGAGACAACAAGGGCGTGGCTGCCTACTTGCTGGAGAAGGACATCGAGGCGGACGCTAGCAACTCAAATGCTGCCGAGGGCTTCGTGGCGGGCTTCTCCCAAGCTAACGTCGGTGACACTACCCCCAATGTACTTGGCGCCTACTGTGAAGACGGCTCAGGCCAACAGTGCCGACTCAATGACAGCACCTGTGGAGGAAAGAGTCAGGACTGCCACGGCCGTGGACCATACTTTGGTCTCGACGACGGAGGCCACAGGTCATGCTACGAGATCGGCAGGCGTCAGGCTCTGGGCGCCAGGAGCATCTACGACTTCAATGAGTTCACGCCTATCTCTGGCAAGGTCCGCTCGTTCCACACCTTTGTCGACTTTTCCAATTTTACCTTCACCCTCAGCAATGGATCTGTCGTTCACACTTGCCCAGCAGCAATGGGTAACTCCTTTGCCGCTGGTACATCTGATGGGCCTGGCGCATTCGACTTTGTTCAGAACGACCCTGGCGCGCCTTCGAATCCTTTCTGGAATATAGTTGGCAGCGCCATCGCACCACCAAGCAAGGAGCAGAAGGAGTGCCAATACCCGAAACCTGTCCTACTAAATGTTGGACAGGCTAACATACCGTACCCATGGTCTCCAAATATTGTCGACATCCAAGTTCTTCGTGTTGGCCAGCTGGTGATCATTGTCTCACCAGGTGAGGCTACGACCATGTCTGGTCGCCGCTGGCGCGAGGCAGTACACAACTACATTGTCTCCTCGAACATTGCTTCCTCGCCAATTGTTGTGCTAGGTGGACCAGCCAACAGCTACACTCATTATATTGCGACAGAAGAAGAGTATGGCATCCAGCGATATGAGGGTGCATCCACCTTGTATGGTCAGCACACTTTGAACGCATACATCAACTCCACCCTAACGTACCTTCCCTACCTCGCCGACGATGCAGCAAGCTCTCCGCCACCTGGGCCTTCCCCTCCCGATAACCGCGACAAGAGCATCTCCCTTATCACTGGCGTCGTCTACGATGGTGCAGGCTTTGGGCGTTCATTTGGCCAAGTTACCAAAGACGTCCTACCCACCTATGCCCGTGGCGCCACCGTATCTGCTACATTTGTCGGCGCCAACCCGCGTAATAATCTCCGTCTAGAAGGTACTTTTGCTTCAATTGAGAAGCAGAACAGCGATGGCACTTGGGTGCAAGTGAAGAACGATGAAGACTGGGAGCTGGTCTACCAATGGAAGCGCGTCAACGGACTTACAGGAACGAGTGATGTTACAATCACATGGGACACCAGTTTCACAGGACCAGAAGCAGGCACGTACAAGATCCGGTACTACGGCGATGCTAAGAAGGTCAGTGGAACGATTACAGAGTTTGAGGGTTCGAGCGCATCATTCAAACTGACGTAAACCACGCCTGCAATATGGACTGATACACGACACTTATGTGGGAATGCCCAAACGAAGAGAGGAATCTGTAATTTATACCCAATGTTGGTCAACGTGAAGAATGACATTGTTTTGTTTCCCTATACTCACTTTCCAACTTAAAAGGGATGCAAAGGGAAGAAAACGCCATTGCGAAGCCGATGGCTTAGGAAATGAGATTATATATAACATCTTATTCGGAAGGTGTTGTCTGCTGTCTACCCGCGCGTTCGCGGACTTTATCTATTTGTCATTCTAGTCGTGTCCATGCATGTTACCGTAGCCAGGCGGGTCTTTTTAGTTCTTGTCATCCGTATCTCATCGTTCTTTCCGCTACATCCTACTCAGACTCCATACTCTCGTCCTCATACTCAGATTCCATATTCTCGCCCTCATACTCGACCAATTTCAGTGTACCGATCCACCTTGGCCTTTCAACAGGCTTGTCATATGTGCTACCAACTTCACGCTTTCGCGTAAAAGCCTGTGCGCCTCTTCGGTCTTTGCTTTCTCTTGTTCAAGTTTGTTCTCAACCTTGCCGACCTGCATGCCGTTATCTGCCTTCACCTCCTCAAATTTCTCGTTCAAAGCGGCTTCAAACTGTTCTTTCTCGCGCGCCTTCCTCAGAAGCTCTTGACGAAGTCTGGCCATTTTTTTTCTCGAGGTAAGTGACATGTAGCGCACGTCTCTGTTTTTTGGTCGAGAAACCACCAGCGGGGTCACTGCGAGCTGACTTTAGAGCCTTCTTATTTCGGTTCTTCCTATTTGTTTCCTGAGGGACAATGGTGGCCTGACGATGTTGCAGTTAGCGCATGTTACAAGAAGTAGTAGTGTGCGCTTGTACGGCCTGCTTCAGAGACTGAGTATACTTACGTGATTGGCGTGCTCAACCTTTAGAGCAAGAGTCGGAGTGGGTTCCTCGGGACGTTCTTCCTGCTTTACTCGCACATTATGTTCTCCGTGTTCTTCCCTCTTGACAGTCACTCCATATTGCCGGGGCGGACTCATGGTGGCAGAGTCGCTATGCCGAGTTGGTGTTGAGACGTTGTTAATGAGTCAGTGTTAAGAGTGTGATGTTTGTGATCCAAGCAGACGCGTGTACACAACGCCAAGGGTCAAGAATGGGGAAGGAGCAAGGTGAAGGTGAGTGCGTTGCCGAAGAGACGCGACCAAGAGGGCGGTCAAAGCGCGCGTTGGTGAAGATTTGTAGATGAAAATCCTCCATTCATGCCTCTATATAAGGCTCAAAGCATCTGGTTCAATTCAGAAATCTAGCTCAGACTGTCTACATTTTGTTTTGTACGATATCCATCGTGTTCCCACTTGTTTCTCAGACTACTTCGTTACGCTAGCCGGAGAACCAAGCCACTATATCATCCCATTGCCTCTGCAACTTTGCCAATCGATTCTCGACCTCATCACTCTCACGATTCAGCTTCTGAACCCTGGTCTCATTCCACAGATCGCGCGATTCTGCCTCTTCCTTCATTAACCGCAACTCAGCTTGTAGTGCTGACCTTCGCTGCCTTTCGAGAATCCGGGCTAGCTCATTTGGCCTCGGTTGATTCACCTCACACCACATCTTGACGCGTGTGATATCTTCTTTGTGTCTCATGTTGATCTCCATGAGCTGCCGAGCGTGATTCTCGTTGACGATCGCGATGTCCTTTGCATGAGCTGCTTTGAGGTCATCGAAATGCTTCTTGTGATCTACACGCTCTTTCTCGAGAGTGCTTGATAGACTGAGAACCTGCCACTCATGCCTTCTTAGATCCTTGATTAGGGAGGTGAGAGGCGATTCTGCAGAGCTGGCATGTATTGTTGACTGTAGCTTCCATTATGTTAGTGTCTTCCTCACGGGTACATTGTGGTTTTCTAAACCTACAGACTTTGCTCGTGCAATTGGGTACGTGTCGTTACGAGGAAAAAGACGTTTGAAGGATGGATTACGACTGCGTTTCGTTGGCTCTGTCCTTGACATTGTGCAGTCGTGGGTAAACGATTGAACAACATCTCGCAAACAGTACAGCTTGTCAGAGAAGAGGATCTAGGAGGCTATCTTTAGGCTGCAGCTCTTGTGGGACGTAAGAGTTGGACAATGCGATACGAACGGAGATGAGATAGTTTGTACGAGCGGTGTAATTATGATAGTAAAAGTGAAGGTGAGGTTGGAATCTCAAGCTAATTGTCACAAGACTCATATGTGGTTGCTACTTTATTCCCAAACTTGGATTTGATGCTTTCGCTCCTTGATCTCCAGATCTCAGCGTCTAGTCTCAATGTCCAGCCTCAGTGTCTTATCTACAAATGTGATAATCCCAACTGAACATGGCTCAGGATCGTAAAGCAAGGCAGTCACTACGTCCGACTCTTCCTCGATGTCCTTCAGCTCTGCCTACGCTCCTGCGATGTTATTCTAAGAAGTAGTAGCAAGATCATACACATAATCTGCTCTTGAATCCAAGCCTACCCACCTTCGGTTCTACTACCACGCCTCAGCAGCAACGGTATCGAGGGCATCTTTGTCAACCTCTTAGTCTTCGCGTTTAGGTTTGGGCTCGCCTTTGGTGTCTTGACCTTCTGTGCATATTTTGAATCCTTCAATACCTCACCCTTCCCAGATTTGTGTGGCGCAAGGAGAGAATCGAACGTCGTCTCTGGGTTAGCCCGGAACTTCACTTCCTGGAGTAGAGGACTGCGAACACGGGTGGAGGTATCGGATGATGATAGTGGACCGGAATTGGATGCTAGGGATGAGGTGCAGTTCGCGTTACAGGTGCTTATCCGAGAATTGGAATGTTGCGAGAAGTAGTCTTCACTGCTTGCTGCTCGAGCCTAAGGATCGATGTATGAAGTTAGCCAGATCTCATGCGCAGTTCATACATGAAGTCACCTACATGTGAGCCGTGATAGCGAGGCGCGTTGTTCACAAACTCCTGGAATGATGGTGTGGATTTTGACTCGGGTAGCGGAGATGGTTCTGGAGGCGATAATGTAGAAGAACGAAAATTGTACGTCGAATGACAAGAAGCGCGCCGGGACTCTGAGTAAACAGACTCTTCATCCTTTTTGGCGTCAATAGAAGCAATCTTGGTTTGAACCTGAGATAGGCCAAAAAATTTACGCACCTTCTTTGTCAGCTTTGACAAAGCGCGCTGGCTGTGCTGCTTATCATCCTCCATAGTGGTAAGCGCATTGGTTCTCTCCACCTTTGGCATCACGCGTGGAACCAAGTCTCCGGGCCTATCGTGACGAGTATTGGCGCTCTCGCCCAACCAATCTTGAAGGCTGTCGTCCTCTATGCCCTGTACAAGCGCTAGTCTGTCTTCTGCGGACAGTGCTTGGGCGTAGTAGCGCGACTGTTGTCGGGGTTGTTTGCACGAAAGGACTGACATGGAAGGACTTGAGCGATGGTGTAAGTTTAATCCCAAGGATTGGTGCTGAGTTTGCGATCCAGAATTCGCAGTACGGTCAGCTGCTTTGTTAGCACCAAAAGACGTCAATGGGTGGGAACCGTGTGGGCCGAAAGGCTCTCGTATGGGAATAGTGAAAGGTGATGAAGGAGCGTCCTGTGTTGGCAATGCGACTGGCTGATCAAAAGGCTCCCACATATTTGCAGCTAGATTGTTCGACGTATAGCCATCTGTGACCCTTGAGTCCGGGTGGACACCTGACTCCCTCTGCTTCACCGTAAAAGAGGATGATGAAGTCGCATCCCCGGCGCCTACGATAGGCGGCCAATGGTTATCGTGGACCTCACCATGACTTACATCCTTCTTGCGTAGTGACGACATTGTACGCAGCAGATAGTCCCTAATGTGCGATTCTTTTCGGCGTCGAAACTTGCGACGAGGTGAAGAAGGGGATGGTTGTGGTGTCGGACAAGCGACTGTGGTAAAGCGTCAGAAGTTGTTCAGGTTCGAAAGCTTGAGCTCGAGCTGCTATTGCCGCTGGGACATTCTAGCTGGATCAAACAATATACGCGCACTAGTATAGTCATTGTGAGGACCTGTGAGCTGAATGGAACATGCACTGTAGAGATAACGAGTATCATCGTGAATGAACAGGGAAAAGCGGCAGCTGATCTGTCAATTGTTTGGTAGTAATTCATTCACTCTTGAATGACGCTTCAAACCAATACCCGTTCCCACATCTTGTCCCCATCTCTGGGTAGGTCAAGCCCTCTTTCTCCATACTCTATTCTTCTTTGCATCAGTCTCCTCTACCTGAAAACCTGGAGTCTCCTCCATCGATGGCACCATATGGAGCTATTAAGCTCATCGACATATATAATTCCTGGCTTCGTCGTTCCTTTGAGCGGCACCTTGACCACCGGAGTATCAAGCGGGCTGAGAGAGGAGCCCGGGGGTCAAATGCTTCAGCCGAGCCTCATCGTTGAGTTGCATGCTACGCTTAGCGAGCGAACACGAATGTTGATTATTGTCCTGTTGTCCGTCACTGTACTCATATAACGACCCATTGGAAAAATCCCAGAATCATGGTAGCAATAACCAGGTATGTTGATGTAAGCGGTGCGTGCCGGCTTCCGAGAGATGTGGGGTCGCCTGTGGGTCTGGGATCATTGTCAGCGTTCACATTCCTGAACTTGGCGTAACTTCTAGATAGGGTAATAGCATCATCGAGACGCAATCTGCAGCCGCATAGTGGACCGCTCGGGTAAATTGCGCGTGGGATTTGAACTTACTGCTTCAGATGTAGACCCATGTCATCGATGGCATCACACCTCTGCCACTCCAGCTCGGGAACTGCCTCCATGGTCACGTTGTTGTCGTCGTTGAAGCTCAGCCTTTGTCCGTTACTTGCGCTAAAGGAGTGCCAGTCCGGGCTCTGAAGCTCTGAGCCTTTGGAGACTAAATATTCTGCAGCGTGTGTATTGGGGTCAAAGCTTCGGATGAAGGACGCCCAGTATGCCTGCACGAAAACGCCTGCGGCCGAAGTAGCATTGTTCCAGATTGGTAGTAATTCTCCGACATGCGACGCGCTTCCCACATTCCACCGGTATTGCCAGGTTGGGTTCGTGTTATCGATGGCGTAGGTATCGGTGACATTAAGAGCAGGGCAGGTATATCGGATGTACCCATAGACATCAGCGGTCAGTGATCTCCAGCGGGCGTCAGCAGTCGTCGCAATGTTACCACCCCAAACTTGACGGATTGTATCCCAGTTCAAGGCGGGGTACTGGTCGGTGAGGAAATCCTGAGACCGAGACTGGGACATGATGCTCTTCTGAACGAAATTGATGCCATCATGCGTGGCACTGCCAAAGATAGTGGGCACGTTGACGAAATGACCAGCCTTCAATTCGTTAAAAGTGTAGTCTTGCACGAAATCGTAGTCCAGGGTCGGATTCCAGAAGTAAAGCGGTGGATTCTTGCCGCCTGGGAATGGCATCTTCAATGTACTGACAGCATCTTGGAAGGTGACCGCATCGAGGCTTGCCATGCAGTTGAGATCGGCGCATCCCGTCTGTTTGAGTAGCTCGTCGAATTGCCATTGACTGTCTCCTACGTCTCGTAGCGATGGAAAGGCAGGTGACTCGGCAGCAGCAGCGTGGAAGAGGCCGTCATCTCGTCCACCATATGCGGTAAGTTGGAAAACAACGGAGCCTCCACCAGCGCTTGCTCCCCCAATGGTAACATGTTTCGGGTCGCCTCCAAACTGTTGAATATGTTTTTTTACCCATTCGAGTGCTTTTCTCTGATCTTTCAGTCCGTTGTTTAGACTCAGACTCGAATTCGCAACAATCTCACGTCCAGCTAGGAACCCATAAGGGCCTACTCGATAGTTGAAGTTCACTACAACCATGCCGTCGTCGCCAGCATCAATCAAGTCTGCACCGTTGTAGTTTGCATTGCCGTTGAGATTGAAGCCACCGCCCTGAATGAAGACGTAGACCGGCAACTTGCTCTTATTTGTGGCTCTCTCTGGCGCGAAAACGTTGATAAACAGGCAATCTTCTGAGTTGGTTCCCCCAAATTCAGCTTTCAGTGGTCTCTTGGTGCCGATACATAGGGGTCCGAACTAAAGTGCTGTTAGCGTGTTGTCAACAAACATGAACGCGTCTTGAATACTTTTGTAGCGTTGACAACACCAGACTCATCTTTAGGATCTTGAGGTGCAGTAAATCGCAGTCCCTCTACACGCGATGGATTGCGTGCATATCGCATACCAGCCCAGCGTATGACACCATTGCCGAGATCTTTTCCACGGTACTTTGCATATCCAAGGTCGATCGTTTCTTGCAGCGCTAAGGCATGCTGAAATAAGAGTGCTACACAAAGCAGCAGGCGAAACATTGTTGACAGTTGAGTAAACGAAAGGCGAAGGAAGGAAGGAAGGCAAGTCGCAAACAGGTAGAAACAATGGGGTATCGTATTCGGTGATGTTTCCCCTGGTTGTCGCCGAAGGGTCGTTCCGATACGAGCTATGCTATAGTGCGGCAGGGCTACGTAGATCTCTGTTCTAGGGGAACGGGTCAGAAGTACAAAAGAAACTCGACAGTTGCATCATGCTATCATGACAGGGAGTTCGGTCGGAAGTGTGCTATTTCCGAAGCGTTAGCTTTTACATGTGACGTCTGTTTGCGCTGTGGTGAATAGTACATACTGTGTGGAGAAGGATCAGTGACATTAGCACCACGGTGCTATTAGCAAACGTAAGCTCGCGGGCTGAGTCGATGGTAGTACAGCAACGAGGATCCACGTCATAAAAGAGCGGGCCCGCGGGTATAAGAGTGCCTGAGTGATTTGTTGTTGCTTCTAGTTATCGCTGCAATGGACCTATCTGCACCGCCGCACTGCAGCATCGAACCAGGGTTTTGCAAAGATCCAGACCATTTGACTGCATGAGGGCGTGAGCGACTCTGCGACGGGATGACCCCAGGCCTCCGACAAGTGGGTGGTACCGACCAGGGTGATTGACCGACAGGCAGTAGCGCGCGCTGACGGTACAATTACACCGAACCTATTCCATTGCTGTGCCTCGTTGAACTCCTGGGGTCCGCGGATTCCCATTCGAGGATCAAGGACGGCGACAGGGGGAGACGCAAAATGACGACTGGTGCTGAACGGGCACGGCAGATGGTGATTGACAACAGCAATGAGATCAGATCTACGATGTGAAAGCGGTTGGCAGGTGCCCAGCATTGTTGATCCAAAAGCCATGTGGGACCTGCAGCCGTATCCATGATGCGAAGCCTGATCACCTCAAGGATGGGGAGCGGCATCCTTGCCGGCTTTCTGCTAGAGGGCAAGATCGGCCGTGCCAACGCGCGAGCAGGACGGCTGAAACCTGGGCACAAGGATGAAACCACGACGCCTTCACGAGATTTTGTGGAAACACTCCAAATTACATTTTCCAAGTATTTTTGCCCTTCGCTTGGCCTCATCATCGAATGATGATGATTTTGTTCAGCATCAGTGCGAGCCTTTGGGATACTCGGCTCCGTCGCGATGCCCGAATGGCGTTTAAAAGCCACGTCGAGACGTGCTTGGTCGGGCCTGTTGCAGCGTCTGTGAATGCGTCGTGGCCCACGTGGTCTGTTGTCAGCCTCGGGCGCGTATTGGAGGTTGTGACAAGCACTCGAAAGCTCGCCAGCCAGGAATCTGCTTATCCTGAAGGCTTGCTTCTTCAGGGTCCACATGCGTCACTTCTCAACGTTGTCGGATCAATACATGGCATCCATGGTTTGAGGCGGTCAACCAAACAGCACATCACTCTGCGAACCTACTGGTCTGCGGTGCAACACAGATGATCCCCGCGTTCACGCACACCATCGTGCCGTTAGGTTCGGTGATCCGGAGAAGCCCCAATGCCGCGGGATTTCCAAGCTATCCGAACGCCAGGCCTGCAAGCCACTAAGCCATCGTTCTAGAACTTCCACCACTCTTACACTTCACGACATGTCTTTGAGAATTCTCCAAAGTTCGTAAAAGAGCATTCTACACGTGTTTCACCTTTGCAGAACACCGAGGTTGAAGCGTACTGCAGTGGTTCCGGATTGGGGAGCCGCAACCTGCACTCAAAACTTTCCGAGTCCAAACTAGTGATGTCTCATTCGCGCGTAGACTGCAGCAGCATGCGTGATTTCCTCAGCACAATCTGTTCCGTTTCCCAACACAATGATGATCCTTCGGAATGCGTATGCGGACCTTGACTCATATTCAAGTAAATCATTCGTTACATTTCAGTAGAGCGTGATCTTGAGTTCAAAGGTGCTGGATGGCAGTTCCGCAGCAGATGAATGCGTCAAAGCACGAATTCTCTATAACGGTATTTAAACATCTCTTGATCTTTGTACACAAGGGTGTATCTCACCGCCTAAACCCTAGCTGGTTCTTTTCCTCCAAAGCTGTTCCCAGTATATACATATCCAGAACCCTATGCTGTTTCTGGCATCAATGCTCGTCTTCATTTCCTGTCTTCTTATCTGACACTTGAATCTGCATCTTCCATATCTAGCAACGCTTCTCTCAGAAGTCAGTAACCCTCCCATTATAGCTCCAATCACCCGTCTTTCCAGTGCTTCCCCACCTAAGAGGTTCATTCTTCGGTCCGCCCACCTCCCCCGTCTTGGGATTAACATCACCCTCAAACTCCGGCGGTGCCCCTCTCCTCATATTAGGATGAAACTCCTCTCCCTTCTTGATTTCCTTGCCATTCTCAAACCGTACTTCGGGAGCTGAGTCGGGTGACTGATTTATTTGTGGTCTTGACCTGGAGGCGGGGGAGGCGGGTGTTGGAGATGACGAGTCTGGAGACTGGTTGATTTGCATGCGGATGTTTGGTTTGGAGGTTGGGGTTTCAATGTCTTTGGGTGTGCTGAAGGCGCCAGTGCTTTGCTTTTGCAGCTTCTCAAAGAGTTCTTGCTCTTCCTTGGGTAGGCGGGGTGGTGCTGGGCCCGAGCCAAAGGGTGCTTGAGCATGTCGAGCTGAGATGCTGAATGTGCGACGGGAGAGCTGGCGGGGAAGGCGCGCGACTGTGCGCGTTGAGGCAGCCATGGTCGGTGGCTAAATGTGTGATGGGACTTTCGGGGGCGAATATACTATGCGAGGTCTGTCGCGAGTGTGGTGGAAGCTGTTTGTAAGTCGATGGCGAAGACGACCTTCTTGACTATAGATCGGGACCGCGGCTTGACGGAGCCAATCGGAGCCCTGCAGTGGCAACGGAGGTCGGATTTTCGTACATCGTGGATGTGCATCACACTTCTCTTCTACAACCTTCCAGTGTAATTGCACCGTGTTCCGAATTATTTTCGTGATATCAAAATCCCCAGTACATGTTGTGTCTAACTTTTTAGAAAGCTATCGTCCCTTCTGGGTCAGAAACGCCCACCGTCCTCTGCATCCAAACGCCAGGCTATCGTACAAAACTACAGCACATAATCTACGCAATGTATCCATTCGTCTCGCCCAGTGCCCGCGCACTCCTTCCTGCATCCAAGAACAAGTTTTGACATTCTTCCACATCGTCCACCTCGATTTGCTTATTCTCCCTTCCATTGACCTCTGCCAGTACACTCGCTGGAGCCAGGAGTTGCAGCGCATATCGCAAGCTAATCTTCTCACCAAGCGCGCTGACCTTCTCCTTAGCTGGACCCGAGATGTTGAGTTTCTCGGTCGTAACTCGGGTGGAGATGATCGACTTGATTTCCGCAGGCCCGTATGGGTGTGTTGGAATAATAAGGAGACGTGCGAGGAGATCGGTCGGGATGCCGTGCGCCGAAGGAGGCAGGTTCTCCCCACCACGAATATGTGTGTTGCCGCGGTTCGACGCGAGGATGACAAGAGGTGATAGGGGAGATTCAAGGGCGCGGTTCAGGAATGTGAAAGCCTCGAGGTCGAGCATGTGAACCTGCGCATGTTAGTCAAACCCAAACTTTAGAAAGTGCTATCTTACCTCATCGATGAAGAGTACACCAGGTACCAGGTCCGCGATACCTTGGTCAATGTACCTATTAACGACCTTATTGATCTCTAACCGCAGCTTCTCTGTGATCTCGGTCTTCTTGGGTTTCATCAGTTGTCCCATCATGCTCATGATGTCCTGCCCACCTTGCGGCCGCGCGTTGGCGACGTCTAGGTCGTGCAGAGTGACGTCTTGAACAATCTCCTTCTTCTTGTGAACATCACCCTTTGGTATAGGAACGTACTCCTCTGCCTCGAGATCGAACTCGGTCGCGTAGGCGTCCGATCGTCCGACACGCTTCACAGCACCCGTGTTGGCTTCGATGTAGATAACATCGCCTAGACGGACGCGCTCCTTCTGTATAGCCTCGTATATGGATGGGTCGAGTCGCAGCTTCTTCGTGCCCTTGGCCGACTTGAGGTTGATGAGGAGATGCGAGATGGTGCGGCCATAGCCTCCAAGCGGGTTTTCAGCTTCCTCAGGCGTAAGCTCTGTCACTTCACCCTCATAGACCTCCTTGGTTTCCTTGACGCGAAGACCTAGCGCAAAGTGTTAGTGCATCCTGTACCCACAGATTGAGTGAATGCGCACCTATTGCTCTCCTGAAGTTCTCCATAAGCGCCTCGGTCTTCTTCACCTCGGCAGAGTAGATCTCGCTGCCAACGATGGGGCAGAACGGCACCTTGGTACCCAACTCCTGGCTCACAGCCAATGCCAATGCGGTCTTTCCAGTTCCAGGGCCACCTGCGAGTAGTACAGCTCTGCCGGACATCTTCTTCGCCTTGACAAGGTCGACGACTAAACCACACGCCTGCGCTGGTTAGTACCTAGGCTGAAGCAGCGAGCGAAAGTTGCAAGTACCTCTCGTGCTGCAGCTTGGCCGACAAAGCCACCAGCTGCGGGAGTTGCGCGTCCATCGCTTGATAGGCCAAGTCCTTTGATATGGGAATGCGCCGCGGTTCTGGCTGAGCGATCGTGCGTGCTCTTGACTTCGCTGACAGGCACCGTCGTCATTTTCGGCGTCGCAAGCACTCAATTCTATCAAACGATAATGATTTGGTATCGGGATGACGGTCGAGTTCGTGTAGGCGGTGTGGCGATGGTGTGGATAGGTAGGCGCGCGTTGTTTTGGGTGTCTTGAGCTCGAAGTTTTGGGAGGGATGGCAGTTCGCGAAAGGCACAGCTAGCGCGTCGACCGCAGCGCCGGCGCTCTATGTCAGTCACCCGCTTGAATCCCCACCCTCCGCCTCCACTCACAGCAGCAGGGCATTCACTGTCCCAAGCCAGGTCACAGGGCTGCCCGCAATACTGCGCACTCGCTCACTATCGCATCGCTCTCTGCATCGCAGCCTGCTGGTATGTTGAGGGCTTCCACCATCCCTCTTTCCTCCATGGCGTCGCCTATCAGTGACCGTCACACGGCGGCGCAGTCAGGGTCACTGCCTGGGCCAAGGGCCAACAGAACGTACAGTATCTGACCTTCCTCTCGCTGTGCCGAGTACTGACCTTACTACAGACCACTACCTACAGGAGCACATGTTCGCGCCCTGAGTACCGCCATCACTGATATCCCCCCCTTCGGAACATCCTCTTCCGAACAACCAACGGCCACTCCTTCACCCTGACGGAACACGGAGTATCTCACGAAACGCCCCTAGGTCCGAGACAGGTACGCATGCAAGACGCCACAGAATACACAACACCCTCAACAGCGATTTCCTTCGGATCCCGCCTCGCCTGGTTAGTCGCATCCACTCTCGAGTACACTACCGAGCCAAGACCAGAGATTATGGAACATCACACACCGAGGCACAACGCACATTTGGCAATATTATCTGGATTTTATTCAGGCCGCCGACACGAGCAGCATATTCATACAGCAAAAGACTACTCGCATGTCCCCCATTTTCGGTAGAACCACCACGCCAAATGCTTGTTACAGCGCGCAGCCCATGCCTTCGACCAAAAGGACCTAAAAAGACAAACCTCGTCACTCGTAATCCGTTGTCGGCATTGGTACCATGATCATGGCACCTCTAGGGTGGGGTCGGTGGGCAAGAGAATACTATACATCGATGTGTTCGTTGGTTGTGTGTGTGCGTGGGTTTGGTGGTAAGTGAGCGCCTGCAAGCTCGAGCAAGCACTGATGTCTGTCTCAGATCTCTCGCCATGGCTAACGACGCCCGATGCGCACCGACCGCAGTATCAAGAAGAAGGCAAGACGCGCATGTTCGATCATGTCAAAGGAGAAGGAAGGAGATCGGACCAATCATCGAACCAGGATTTCACGCGAAAACAGGAGGACTATTTGCCGAAGAAGATTACTCTTCCTCGCTCTCGGAGCCGCTGGACTCGTCGTCGTCGCTGGATGCATCATGCACTACAAAGGTTAGTTGATGATTGAGAGGTGCACGCACTAACAACTCACCAGGCGGAGACTGGCTGGATCCCGACGCACCACCCTGGAACGACTGCAGCTTCTCCTGGATCTTGCGCATGTTATCCTCCTGTTCACTCTTGCCCATAGGCTTATTCTTCTTCGGTCGAGCCGCAGCTTGCTTCGTCACCTGCCTAGGTGGCTCAAAATCATCATCAGCTACGGCACCTCCCTTGGGACCGCGCAGAGACTTGATGAACCTCAACAACTCCCGGAGCGTATCATCGTTGATCTCGTCCATGTCGAGCTCCATTTCGTCATCGTTCACGGTCGCAAGGTGTGGACAGCCATTTCTGATGATTTGGACTGCCTTACGCATATCAAGGTCACCAAGCGTACTGATGCCCTCTGAGATCTCCTGTTTCTGGGCGAAACTCAGAGGCGCAGGAGCCTTAACCTTCTTGACCGGTGCAGTCTTGATAGGCTTCGCAGGCGGTGGCACCGCAAGTGGAAGACTCTTCCGCTTTGTTGGTGGCGCGGCGGCCTTCTTCTTCTTGCCAGGCAATTTGGGTGAGGCACGTTTGCCACCAGTTTGCTGCTGCAGAAGTTGTTGCGCTGTGGCGTTCAGTTGTGCGATCTGTTGCTGGATTGCAAGAAACTGAGCCTGAGCAGGGTCTATCTCCTCCTCGTCTTCATCTTCCTCATCATCTTCGTCAGAGTAGAGGTCGCTGGGCGAGTGTTCAGGAGCAGGCGCATGCTGGGCAAGCCAGTCGGCCTTCTCCTTCCACAGGCTCTCAAACAGATCCTCCATCTTGTGCCCCATCTGGTTGACGGCGTCACCTTCAGGATTGAACTTGTAGCAATTCTGGAAAACGAGCTGCGCATCCGCGTAGAAATCCTTGGCACTTTGGTAAACGCCATTCTTCAGATTCTTCTCAATCGTACCAAAGTCCATTGGTTTCTTGATGATCTTGAGATAGGACGGAATGTTGAGCGCCACAGGATCTACCGGAGCAATGAACGGGTAAGTAACTGCACTGTACTTTGGCTTCATGAGCTCGGTAAGCACAGACTCGCAGAACTTGAGTTCTTGCGCAAACTTCTTCCTTCTCGGCTTTGCGTTGGTGTAAGGCAAATCCTTCGAAGGCCTATGAATCTCTCGCTTTGGACGACCGTCTGTAGTAGACGAATCACGTCGAATCAACGGCGTGCCGTCTTGCTGCAGAGGCCAGGCAGCCTGAGGTGAGGTTGCTGCAGGAGTAGCGACGGCAGGAGATTTGACATTAGGCGGTGCAACACGAGACTCACGTCGAGCCTTTGACGAAGTGTTTACTGATGGCTTCTTTGCCTTTGCCGGCTTAGGTGGCTCTTCAGCAGCAGCACCTCGGGGCATTTTACCCATGCCTTTCAAGAAGTAAGCGCGGAGGTTGTATCCTGCTTGAGTTACAGGATGTTGCTTGTTGTTGAAAAGCTCGCTGTTGGTAATCATCTGATCGAGGTCTGCCATGAAATCCCTTACGTAAGTGTACTTCTTGTCCTTCAACTTGTGTTCCATAGTAGTCAAGTCCATGGGGTTCTTGACAATGTCAGGGTAAGTAGGAATGTTGAGGGCTATGGGGTCAACAGGATCCTTGAACGCTATCGAAACCTTGATCTTCTTCGTGTTCCTTATCCGCTCAAGAAGAAACTTGTTCTGTGCGTCCGTCATCGGAGTGGTTGGCCATTCTTCCCAATCAACAGCCCTGTGAACACCTGATGCCTCGTGTGCAGAGTCGGAAGCCGGTCCTGGAGTACCGCCATTTGTGCTGGGTTGCTCCGTTTGATTGGGCAACTCGGGGAGCTTGAAGTCGGTCTGAGCACTCATCTCTTCTTCGGTCTTTGTGCGCTTCGCGTCGGGAATATCGTCATCATCATCCTCGCGGGGACGGACTTTGCCCG